AAATGAAAGATCTAAAGGATTAAGAGATTAAAGATCAAAAGACCAGTGATGAAAACCTGTCGTAGAGATAGTTACGCGAAGCTAGCTCCATTGAACAGAAATTTATCGACGATCCTACGATTCAAGGGTGTGAAAAGGGCGTGAATACAGTCGTCAGGGTGGCTTTGGTGCGACGAAAGGAAAACGGAAGGCGCCTCTGGGAACGCAACAAGTTCGCGATGCCTTTATCCTCATCGGCTACCCTTTTGTGTCTCTGGAACTTGGCCAACGGTGCTGGTTCACCGCTGCCCATCAAATCTCTCTCTTTCTCTCTCTTTTTCTCTCTGCTTTTATTCTCTCTTCCCTTTTTGCTTCTTATCTGATCGAAAATGCAATCTCGGCTGGTTGATCAGCCTGTTATGAGGATTATGATCAAACGTCGTTGACCGTGTAACGAGATCGAGACAGTTGATTCATTCACCTTCTAATGATTAATTGTTTTTGCTTGCGAGGAAATTCGCAATGAAAAACTCGATTAGAATGAGAGGATTGAGAGTTATGCATAATTATTTAAAAATTTTATCTCATATTTGAGTTATATGGAGAATTTATAAAATATAAATAATGAAGTTTAGTGAAATAGAAAGAGAAAGTAGGTGTTTCAAAAATTAGATAATTTAAATTCGTTTACAAATTTTGTCTCATATTTATATTGATGTCTATTGTGAGATTTAATAAGATAGAAAGTTTATATGTAAAAGAGAAAATGTGATTCGAGAATTAGATATTTAAATTATTTAAATGTTTCGTCTCATATTTCGATTATTAAAAGTTCATAGAATATTATATCTCATATTTGACCTGTATCTTTCATTTTTCAAATTAGCATTAAATTTATCGTTTATTAACTACAATGATAGAATTCGTAAGTTTATTTGCAAGATTGAGTTTTCAATGATAATATAAAGGCATAGAAATTGTTTGTACAATAGAAGATACTCGATTCGAAGGTCAAGCGTCATATTATGCTTTATTGATTTCGGTTACCGTGCTTTTCAGACATCCCTATGATGGCCGTTTCAATATTCCCATCTAACCGCACCAACTACATTCCATAATCATTGACCTATCTCAATGGACTAGCTGCCGAGTTAGCCAGAACAAGAGAGGTCCTATCTATTATTCCATTCGAGAGTTTCCACGATAATTCCTGAGAATTGGCTTTATCTAGAGACTTGGTCACATCACTGCCTTACTTCAATTGTCATTGATTACAATCGAATACTTTCTTTAAAGATTATTATATCAATCGGCATTTATTTATTTTAATTAAAATAGATTTCGCAAAAAAATAATAATTTCTATAACCACTTATTTGTCAAAATTTTTCAAAAATTAATTGAATATTTATCAAATATAATTTATCAATATTAATCAACGATTACTTATTTTCAATTAAAATAATTAAAATTATTTTAAAATCTTCTTTTCTGATCAATCGAATGAAACTATGAAAAACTATAAAAGTAATAATTAATAAAAATCTAAAAATTTTTTCGATAATTTCACTTTTCAATTTATCGCAATTTTTTCAAAAAGCAATCGAATACTCATATAGTTTTTTTTTTTTCATTTATTGTTATTTATTTCAATTCGATTTTCGAAATACAGATAATATTTTTCGTGAATCGAGCTAACAAATAACAAAAATTTCAAAATTTATTCGATAGCAATATTATTCACCAATTTATCGCAATTTTTCCGAAACCAATCGAATATTATATTTGATATCAAAATAAATTCTCATATTGAAAACTTCATTATTAATCGATCAACCAATAATACATGAAATTCTCATTCAAAAATTTCATTCATCGATAAATAAATTAATCTATAAAAATTTGTCAACACCTTATTCCTTTCTTCCTTTCGTCCACATCTATTATCGTCGATTCACAGCAAACACACATTAAACATACGTGCGATCTTTTGTTCCGTGACTGGGATCACGTGTCGAGGGAAACCAGGCACGAACTTCTGCGTACAGTTAATATAGCCATGCGCAAAGAGGTTTTGGAACGACCGGTATAATAGGGAGCTTACAATGAGATTCGTGTTCCACGGTCACCACAGTAGGCTTATTAAATATTGCACGGCTTCGCGTCGTAGTAAACTTCTAACTCTGTACTTTTATCTCTGTATCGGTATTTGTTCGTTTTATTTTCGATTCCGGCATGAACGTTTTCGTAACTTGGCGAAACGTCGGTGCATAACGTAGTTTCCAGGGACCGTTATAGACCCCTGTCGGAATTTCATGGAACTTTCAATACTTTCTCTCTCTCTCTCTCTCTCTCTCTCTCTCTCTCTTTCTCGCTTAACCGTTTCTTTCTGTCTTCTTCGTTCCTCTCTTTTCTTTTTACATTTTTTCTTCCTTCTTATTCACGTTGATTATACGTAAGCAAATAAGGGTTTGCGTCCATTATTTCATTTTACCTGGATAAACTTGAAAATTCGTAGAAAACTTTTAAATAAAAACTTTTTTAAGTTTAGACGAAATTTTATTGGAAGTAATCGGTTTTTCAATGATAGGTTCTCCACGATATATGTTTATTGAGATCTTGAATGATAGAAATTGACACTTGCCGAGCAGATTGATTTTTACGAGGAGATTGATTTTTTATTTTTGATTCTTTGTATGAGAAGAAGAAAATTTTTGGATCATGTGGAATTTCAATTTTTGTTTTTTTTTTTTTTCGAAACTCGATACATTAATGATTTAAATTTGATTTTGATTTAATCCTCGCATATACTTCTTTTATCTAAGAACTTTAAATAAAGAAAAAAGCATTTTTCTTTATTATTTTTGAAAAATTAATATTAAAAATATTAATATTAATATAATATTTATATATTAATATTAATTATTAATTTATAATATATTATAATTATTATTATATAATATATTAATATATATATATTATAATTAA